GAGGGGCTGGGGCCTGGACTCCTGGGTCTGAGGGAGGAGGGGCCTGGGGGCCTGGACTCCTGGGTCTGAGGGAGGAGGGGCCTGGGTCTGGACTCCTGGTCTGAGACAGGAGGAGGGGCTGGGGGTGTAAGAGTTGAACCCCAGGCGTCTCAGGGACTTGGTGCTCCCAAGTGCTTGCTCCCACTCAGGTCCCAGCCGTCCCCCAAGGCCCTAGTGTGCGCAGCCGCCCTCTCCAGCCTCTGGAGGCAGACAGCACCTGTTTGCTCGTAGGAGAAAGAGGCTACTCATCCACCCCCAGGGCCCAAGTCTGTTTGCTTTGGAAACAAGGTGGGGGGTGTCTCAAGTTATCTGGTTCATCTTTCACCCTTGGGCCATTGGGTGGCGCCAGGATGTGGGGGCAGGGGCGAGAGCCATCTGCGACCTGAGGCTTGACATTACCCTGACCAGCAACTGGTTTCCCCACTCCTCAGATGCTCCAGTGAAGAGGGAGACTGAGTCACAATGAAAAGTGTCATTGAGCCCTTAGCCCCTTCCTCCCTCAGACCCAGGAGTCCAGACCCCCGCTCCCTCCTCCCTCAGACCCTGGAGTCCAGACCCCCAGCCCCTCCTCCTCAGGCCCAGGAGTCCAGACCCCCAGCCCCTCCTCCCTCAGACCCAGGAGTCCAGAGCCCTGGCCCCCTCCTTCCTCAGACCCAGGAGTCCAGGCCCCCAGCCCCTCCTCCCTCAGACCCAGGAGTCCAGGCCCCCAGCCCCTCCTCCCTCAGACCCAGGAGTCCAGACCCCCAGCCCCTCCTCCCTCAGACCCAGGAGTCCAGAGCCCTGGCCCCCTCCTTCCTCAGACCCATGTCTAGCAGGACCTGGGCTCTGGGTCACTGTCTCTACTCTGCCCTGCAGAGATGCCCGGCAAACAGTCAGATGAGGAACAGGTGGAGGCAGGGGCTGCCGAAAATGTAGCTGAGGAGGACCTAGGGGGCCTCACGGCAGAGGAGCTCCGGCAGGGCCAGGAGGCAGCCCTGGAGCTAGAGGACATGATGGCGCTAAGTGCGCAGACCCTGGTCCGGGCCGAGGTGGACGAGCTTTACCAGCAAGTGCGTTCCCTGGGCCAGGGCCGCTTTGGCCGGGTCCTGCTGGTCACCCATCGTCAGAAAGGTACCAGGGCCTGGAGACAGATGCAGGAGGGTCAGAGGGCGGTTGAATGGGTCACAACAGGTGCCCGCCGAGGCCGGGGAGTGTAAGCAGGAATCGAGTGTTACCTCTGCACCCCTCCCCCCACAAGGCTGTGTGTTCTTGGGACTCTCCCCTGCCCTCTCTGAGTCTCAGCTCCTCCTTTGAGAATGTGGGTGACTGAGCATATGTCGACGGCTGTAGTACCCGAGAGAAAGGGGAGCAGACAGAGCCCTCCCCTGTGGTTGCCCCCCGCAGGCTGGCTTCGTCTGGAACTTTCTGGCCAGGCGTGCATACATCTTGTGTTGGTCCCCTGAGCCGGGCACAGTGTGGATGGAACTCAGAGGCAGCATCGACACAGGGCATGCCTAGCAAGGCTGCCCAGGGGCTCGGCCCTCAGTGCTCGGTGCTTGGAACCCAGAGCTGAGTCTGCGAGGCCTGCCTCCATGGTGGAGCTCCAGCCTGCACAGGGGGAGGGTGTGCAAGTGCGCCCCGCCAGCTGGCGCTGAGCTCTGCATGCTGGGGCTGGGGCGGGGGTGCTGGTTGGCCTCAAACAGCAGGAGTCCACCTTCTCGTGCTCCTGGAGGCGGAAGTCCCCAAGCAGGCGTGTCCCTGTGTGTCCACACCTGTGTGTATGCGTCCGGTTCCTCGTTCTTTAAGGACACCGGTCACAGTGGATTGGGGCCCACCCCAGGGACCGCGTTTTACCTCTTTCAAGACCATTTCCAGACAGGGCTCTGTTCTGCGAAAGGCTGTGAGGACTTCTTCCACCTCTGGATTCGGGGATGGGGGTGCACGGTTCAGCCCACATCAGAGACTGATGCAAAGAGCAAGAGGTCCAGACATGGGTCCTCCCCGACTGTGGAGGCACGAGGCCTAACGGGGGGCCCAGGGAACCATGCTTTGTTGTACCTCTTGGATGCGGGCCCCTGAGCCGGAGGGGTCTGGGGCCCAGCACTCACAGCCCCAAGGGACGGACGCCATCAGAATTGACAGTGGCACCTGCCACCATGGCTGAGGTCCAGGGCGCTGCTGCATCCAGCCGGGGGACAGAAAGACAGTGGTCCGCATGTGAGGCAAGGGGGTGACCTCTGTCCATCACTCCTGGGCTCCTGGTGAGGGCAGCAGGTGACTCTGCAGGTGAAGAAGCCAGAGTTCCTGCCCTCAGGGGACCTACACTCTTGGGAACTGTTTGCATGAAGGTTCCTCCCCGGGATGACGGCCCCAGGGCAGAGCATCCCTTCCGCATTCCCTGCAGCTTTGGGGCTGGGGTTTGCTGGAGCCAGGAGCCAAACGAAGTCATCTGAAGTTCTGAGTGCAGTTTCCCAGGGGCCCCCCATCTGTTCCAACACAGCAGAGCAGAAAATCACCAAATGCTGCGTTACTGTTGTTATTAATTACCACGGACGGCGTTTTTGTGGCCACGCGGCGTGTAGGGTTGCATGGCAGGGAGGAGGTGGCAGTGGCGTTGGGGAGAGAGTCTGGGCCGGGGCGAGGGGGGGGCAGGGGGGCGGCCAGGGTGACCCTCGGCTCCTTCACTCCCTCCACTCCTGTCCCTGCTGCCCCAGGCACGACCCTGGCGTTGAAACAGCTCCCGAAGGCGTCCACTTCCCTCCGTGGCTTCCTGTATGAGTTCTGCGTGGGCCTCTCGCTGGGCACGCACCCAGCCATAGTCACGGCCTACGGCATTGGCATCGAGTCGGCCGACTCCTACAGCTTCCTGACAGAGCCCGTCCTGTATGGGGACCTCATCACCTTCATCCAGCCCAAGGTGGGTAGGTGGGCCCCTCCGTGGGCCCCTCTGGAGTTCACAGATCGCCACAGAACCAACACTGTACCCTAGCGAGACTCGCCCGCCCTCATGGACTCAGCCCAGGCCTCGAGGGGGTCATGTTAGATCTCCCCAGGGCTCACAGTCCCTCACGGGGTCACGCTGGGCCTCCCCATGGCAAGTCTGTTGGAGGTCCTTCATTGTCCTGGGCCCCCCGGGACTGAGGAGCGCCTGCACGGTCTCAGTCCCCGGCCAGCTGTCCGCAGGGGCAGGAGGCCCTGACGCCTGTCCCCCGCAGGTGGGCCTCCCGCAGCCGGCAGTCCAGCGCTGTGCGGCCCAGCTGGCCTCGGCCCTGGAGCACATCCACTCCCGGGGCCTGGTGTACCGGGACATCAAGCCCGAGAACGTGCTGGTGTGTGACCCGGCCTGCCAGCGGGTCAAGCTCACCGACTTCGGCCACACGAGGCCGCGTGGGACGCTGCTGCGCTTGACCGGGCCGCCCATCCCTTACACGGCCCCTGAGCTCTGCTGCCCTCCGCCCCTGCCCGAGGGCCTGCCCATCCAGCCTGCCCTGGACGCCTGGGCGCTGGGGGTCCTGCTGTTCTGCCTGCTCACCGGCTACTTCCCCTGGGACCAACCCCTGGCTGAGGCCGACCCCTTCTACGAGGACTTCCTCATCTGGCGGGCGTCTAGCCAGCCCGACGACCGTCCTCAGCCCTGGTTCGGCCTGACACCCGTGGCCGACAGTCTCCTGTGGGGACTGCTGGACCCTCACCCCCGGAAGAGGAGCCCCGTGAGCTCCGTCCGGGACTACCTGGGGCGTCCCTGGAGGCAGCAGGAGGGGGAAGCTGAAGAGGTGGAGGAGGGGGATGTCGAGGAGGATGGAGAGTGAGGGGGGCAGCCCAAGCCCACGTTGCCTGCGGAGATACGGGAAGGGAACCGCGTGCCCGTGTCCTGAGGCTGCCTCCACCTTCTTGTGCTGGCTTTTGGCTTCTCTTTTACCCGTTTCCCTCTTCCTTTCTTCCTTACCTCCCACATTGCCATCCTTCCTGTGGCCTAGGGGGCCCCTGAGACAGCTGCATGCCTGTCCCACCATCGCCGTCCCCCAGGGCTTTGGCACCTGCTGTCCCCCCTGCCCGAGGTCCTGTGGCTCCTTCCCTCGCCTCCCGCACACCCTGGGTGCTTCAGCTGCCCTGCTCAGGCCTCACTGGCGAGGTCCCGGCCCCATGTTCCCACCGCCTCCTTCTCCTCTGCTCCCTGCCCCCGGGGACGCTCATCCCCTTCCAGCTGTCCCCTTAGGTCCATGTGGTTCTTCTGTGTGTCCTGTGGGGGCAGGGGTCCCACCTGTCCTGTGAGGTGCCCCATGGAGCCGGTGCAGTCCTGGCCCGACGGAAGGGCCTCAGAGATGTCTGCTCAATAAACGCACCTGTCTGGTTCTGTGTCACCGCCTCTGTGTCCCTGTCTTCCAGTCCCCTCTCCTCCCGAGCCGGGTCTCCCCCACTCCCCCAGCCCTGCGTCTTCCGCCCACAGTCCGGGCTGGCCGTCGCCCTCTTCTCTCACCTAGCTTCACCCGGCACGTTGGTCTCCACGATGCTGCCGGCCTGTCCCTGTGGGGAAGACCCGACAGCATGTTGTCAGGGAGAGACCCGCAGAAGCCAAACGCGGCCCCACGGTGTGGCCGTGCCTCGTGCCAGAGGCTGGCGCGGATGCATGTCAGGACGGGGAGAGCCCGTCTCTGCGGGGGCCCGCATGTGAGCAGAGGCCTTGCGCATCAGAGCCGCCCGCGGACGGGCACCGCGGCTGGACTGCGGCGGGGATTTCCGGGGATTTCGGCAGAGGTGTGTGTCCGTAAGCCTCTGGGCTCAGGGCTGTGCACAAGTCGTGGTGTGTGGGGGGGACACGGTGGGGTGTGACTCTGTCCTGGCCTGTGCGGGTGATGTGACTGGGTTTCATGGGTCCGAGTGTTTGAGCCTGTGTGTGAGGGGACAGCACGGAAGTCTGCGTGTGCTTGGCCCTGAGTGTGTGGACATCAGACCTGTGTTTGTATGTCCACAAGACCTTGAGCACGCGTGTGTGTAGCCGGAGGAGAAAAGTCACCCAGACACGGCTGCCAGTCACCAGCTGGGCCCCTCTCTCCTTCACACCTTCCCCCCCGCCTTGCCCCGGCCCCTTCTTGGCTGCTGCCCTGTTTGCAAACACTCTGTCTTCCTCTCCTCGCCTTCTTTGGCCTCCCGCCCAGAGCAAGGCTACACTCAGAGCTGGATCGAGTGTCACTCTCTCCCAGGCCCATACCACCCCCCCAGGGCCCCTGCTGTGGCCTCCTAGGTGTTGCCTGGACTGGGGAGGGGGGTGTTAACAGCACCTGCAGAGTGACCCCAAAGACCCTGGAATCTAGTTTCAATAGAAAGGACTAGGGACACCGGCCCCTGTCCTGGGCAATCCAGGTGGGCTTCCTGGAGTAGGGGGTACTGGAAAGAACAAGACAGGGAGGTACATAGTGGGGGGAGTGGGGAGCAGGATCAGGACCTTCTGCCATCTTACCCACGAATGTGAAGTAGCTCGTACCATCAGGCCAAGAATGTGTCCCAAAAAAGCTGGAGGCGGCTGGGGCAGGGTGGAGCTGGGAAGAGGGGAGTGCAGATGGGCAGGGGCAGGCAGGGGCAGGGGAGGCTGCAGAGGGTGTTAATTGGTGGCAGCAGCTGAGGATTAACTGGGAGGTGATAATGACCCAGTGGGGGGCCCCAGGGCAGGGCGGGAGGATGAAAATTCCCAGAAGGCCTGAAGGGACCCGGGGCAGTGCTAATTAAGTATAAGTTACTTAATTAAGTAAGACTGAATACTAATCATAATACTTAACACTGACAAAGCAGCATGCTCCTCGCTCCTCCCGCTGCCCCCCTGGCAGAAACGTGGGCTCACCTGCTAGGACCCTCCTCAGTTCACGGGTCAGTGTGCATGGGTGGCCAAGGTAACACCTGAGCTCCCGCCTGGGTGAGGGGCAGGAGCAGAGCCCGGAGCCGAACCCAGACTGGGTCCTGCCCAGGGACCATGGTCTTCAACTTCAGGGTGTTCCGCTGCAATCAGTGGCCAAAGGGGTCCCACACAGAGGGCTGGGGTGCATGTGGCGGGCTGCGTGACGGTATTGTGTACGTCTGACTGTGCAAGGCGAGTGTGCATGGGGGGTGGTGAGGCGGCCGTCCCTCCCTGGGAGGACACGGGCGTTGGGGCAGGTAAACCGTGGGGATAGAAGAGGTGGGCTCAGAGGCTTCCAGACCCATTGCCCTGTGCTAGTGAGGACGTGGAGAGGCTAGAACCCCGGTGCAGCGTGGAGGGAGGGTAAAAACGGTGCAGCCATCGTGGGAGACAGGCCGGCCTTTGTCAGCTCATCAGACCCAGAACCACACGTGGCCCGGCAATTCCGCTCTGAGGTTCGTGCCCACGAGCGACGGAAAGCGTGCGTCCACACAGATATTCTAGTACGCTACTCACAAAAGCCAAACCACGGAGACAACCCAAATGTCTGTCCACAGCTGAGCAAACACAAGGTGGCCCATCCAGACTCTGGCCTAGTACCCCGCCGTGGGAAGGAACAAAGCCCCAACCCGTGCCACACCACGGGTGGAGCTCACCGACGCCGTGAGCAGAGAGAGGTCAGCAGTGCCAGATGAGCCACTGCAGGACTCCATTCTGAAAATGCCCAGAACAGGCAGATGCGGGGGTGGGGCTGTCGGGGGGAGCCGGGGAATGACGGGCAGGGGGCACAGCTTTTCTTCTTCGGGGGGCCTGGTGGTGGACTTGTTCTAAAACTAGATTGTGGTGAGTGCTGCACAGCTCTGAATATGTTAAAAACCACCGAATGGTACATGGGAAAAGGGTAAATTTCATGGCATGCAGATTTCATCTCAATGAGGCTAAAAAACCACACAAGAAGCATTTCCAAGGTTCTCATGCCTTAATCAGTTCCTTTCCATCTCCAGGCCTCTGAATTCCCATCACAGAGAAAAGAGAAAACGCTGCTCTCCTTCTCACAGCTCTGAGTCAATCACAAACCAAGGCCTTAAACACAGAACCTACTCCCTGCTCCCCACTCTGTCTTACAGAAAAGACCACTGAGGCCCTAACGGGGAGGAACCTACTTTCCAATGACCAGCAAGTCTAAAGATGGAAGAGCCTGAATTCAAACCCAGCTCTCCACCCCAGCCCAGCACCTCTAAAGTGTACCCAACGGGTGGTCGCCACGGTCGCTCTGCCCCGCCCCCCAGCTGGGACCTCAAGCTTGCAAGCAGGACGTGTGGATGTCCAGCGTAAAATGAAACTGTGGGGCCTCTTGGTTGAAAAAAAAGTTTTTCCTTCCCCTCTCCCTCTCTGTCATTTGCTAGTGATGCTGTGCCCTCCCCTGGGCCTGGGGCGTGGAGCTACCGCTGGGGATGGGGTCCTGTGACCAGAACCCATCAGGGAAGTGCCTTTGCATGAGCCCGCGCTCCTGCCCCGTCAACTTCACTTAGAAAACTTGGGATCAAAAATCACGAAGAGCATCAGCAGAGTGTGAACCCAACCCACTGGCACCCCACCTGCGTGCTGCTTGCAGCGGGGAGGGGGCCAACCCCGGGGCCAGAAGGGGCCAGCCCGGCAGGCCTCTGTGAACAAGCTCTGGGGCGGGAGTCCCTGCAGGTCGGTGCTGGGGCAGAGAATGCCAATAGCTTGAGCGGCGCTTCTCAGACCTCCAGCCGCCAGCCACAATGACCTGCCCCCTTGCTAAACCGCGGATTCCGATCCGATCCAGAGAGTCTGAGGTGGTGCTGGTGAGGCCCATGTTCCCAGGGCACGGGCCACACTTGCTGGTGCAAGGGACACAATGTTAGAGTACTGATCTTGCGTCCTCACTGATCTCTTATTAACGCTAACCATTTGTGCGCTGGATGCTCCGGGGTTTTCTACATGGACAGTCAGGTTGCCCGCGGGGAAAGGACAGATCTGTGTCTCCACACTTCCTGGGATTAAGGAAGCCCCCTCTGCTCCGATTCTAAGAGTGTGTGTGTGCATGTGTGTGGTGTCCACCATGAATGGGTGCTGAATTTTGTGAAATGTGTTTTTCTGCAAAGGTCACGCTCGCTAGGCTTCTGCAGCTACTGTTCTGGGCTTGTTGCAAGCTGGCAGGCACAGGATAGGGCTCAGCTGTCCCATGGGAGGTGTCCAGGTCAGGGCCAGCAGTAGGTGGGGGCTGGCCACCCACCCTGGCCCTGGGCCCTGGGGCCAGATGTTTGGGCTTAGCCGCCTGGCCAAGCAGGGATAGAGTGACCGGATAATTAAGCACCCGCTTCTTCGGGGCTGGCAGAAGGCTGCAGAGGGTGGAGGCACCTGGGGCCAGAGTGCCCAACAGCCACCCTACTCCTCCCAAATCCGGCTCACAGATGGGGGCCTAGAGCCTAAACACCTAGTGGGGCCCTCAGGGGGGACCCAGAGTTGGGCTGCGCCTGCTCCCAACTTCAAATGGGGAAGCAGACCCTTTGCCTCCAGGTCGGTGTGCTGTCCTCTGAGCCCCTGACTGCCCAGGAGGGCAAGGGGCAGGCAGGCAGGGCCCCCCTCAGCCCTCCCTGTTTACTAGTCAGCAGTTATTTAAGTCTGGGGCTTAATGAGACCCGGGAAACAGAATTCTCTGCGTGCTTCTTTGCCTGTTGGCAGGGGCAGACAGTCCATCTATCAGGACCCCCAGACATTATCCCTCCCTGCCCCCAACACGTAACTGGACCCTGCTGGCCTTTGCCGGACTGCGGGGGCGCCAGCTCCATGACCTTCCAGGACCTCTGAGCCAGGCTCCAGATTGGGGAGAGGAGGAGGAGGGAACGGTCTCCTGTCCGAGGCTATAGAAACCAGAATTGGAGCTTCCTTCAGTGTTTCAAGGTGGCCCCCAGTTTACAAGTGGAGACCCAGAGAGGGGAAGGAGCCCACCCAAGTTCACTCAAAGAGGGGCCGTCATAGGAGTCCTAACCTGGAACCCCAGGCCAAGGTCAAACCATCGGAATTTGCATCTCATTTTTCTGGGTTTGAGTTCCCACTCTGCTGTGTGGCCTTAGGCAAGACACTTGCCCTCTCTGAGCTTCGGTGTCCTTTCTGAAATGGGAATCAAGGTCCTCCCTCAAAGGGCTGGGGTGAGGATGGGATGTAGTGTGTTATGAGGACACACTGGGTCAGACG